GTTCAAGTGGCCGCATGGGCAGCTGCGACTGCGCGGACGCAGGTATGCCCGAGCTGTTGGTCGTGTGACTTTAGGTCGGCTCGTCTGGGACGGCTCGCTGCAAGGGGTGAATGACCTTGAGGCAGCGAGGTCTTGAACAATGACGCCAGACCAGTCAGGATGGCTAGTCGCACACTGCCTCTGAATTTTAAGTAAGTGAATATCACAAAGTCCCTCACTCAGCCCCACCCCTCCCCTGAGACCCAGGGGATCGATGCGAGATGAGACAAACCACCAATGTGAATGTGAAGCAGACTTTCATTTAGCCAATCTCCGGTAACGATAGGGTGTAGAACCCACAAGGGCGACGATCGGGTAAAGGACCCCAAGCACACACACGACCAGCCAAAGGTGTCTGTCTTACGGGAAAGGTGGTAATAGGGGTTTTACGGGCGGGGCCTGTGTATGCATAGAGGAATGGGAAAATAAGTATAGAAAATTGATAAATTCGTTTTTCGGGTGGAAGAGTTTTAATGCACCATGGTGGAGGTGCCATAGCGACCACACCCAGACGGAGCCATCCCAGCCTAGGTCTCCGCCCTGAGAGGACTGAGCTATTTGAGCTACGACTTTCAGTGCATCGTGATAGTTTCGAATAGATTGTTTACAGTGAGGACTGCGTTAAAGTGTCGTGGGGTCGGAGGTTCCAGGGCAGAGTTCACTCCCTCTTCCCTCTCCTATGCACCAGATCATTGTCCGAGCCGGTCAGCCATTCGATGTAGGAAAAGGGTTCAAGTGGCCGGCGCGGCAGAGGCCTGCGTATAGGCGTGCCACTACACTCCCATCAGTGGATTCTGCGCAGCCCAGTTAACGCGCGTCTCGTTGTAGGGTACAAAGGTACATTAACATCCAAAGGAGACAAGGCAGCCAGAAAAGCATCAGAACAAGGAAAGGCAGCTTTCAGGTGAAGGACCCCAAACACACGCGACCAGCCATAGGTGCCTGTCTTACGGGAATGGCGGTAATAAGGGTTTTACAGGCAAGGTCTATGTATGCATAGGGGAAGGGCAACTACAAAAATATACCCTAAAATTCCGTGTGACTGTAAACATCATTGTTATTCACCGATCCTATTGTTTGACTAAATGTAAACTTGCCAGAGACGCTTT